GGTCAAACAGGACATCTGCTAGTGACAGAACACAAAGGCTGTGGATTGTATTTTTGGTGTTACTAGACGCCATTTGCGTTTAAGTATGGCTGACCTGACATAGTCAATCCAAGTTTTCTCGAAAAATTAATTTTTGGGCGATTCAATTCCGAGGTTAGCAACCACCACAGCGACCATTTTGTAAAATGGTAGATTTGACTGTCTAAATTCCTATTTTATACTGCAGTCTTTATGCCTCCAATATTTTTATTTGCAACTGTGTCTGATGATGGGTTCGGATGAGAATCAGAAACGTTGGGCCGGTAAATTTCTTGTTCAAATGATCACACCTCTTTCTCGTCCGACTTATTTGCATCGTTGTCTTAGAATACTAGATGATGTTTCTTCTTCTTGAAGTTTCTCGACAAGGCGAGCAAGTTTAACTAAGAAAGTCACTTCCTACGAAATGGACTTCATGAAAGTCTTTCAATTTTTTACCGTCCTGTTTTGTTAGACTACAAAATGACGACTGTCAAACAGAAGACTTCACAAGGACACATCGACTGCGGTGATCTTTACGCCACTGCCCCACCGACGGATATGGAATCATCTTGTAATGCCAGCCAAACGCCAGGTTCGAAGTTAAAATGGGAGAGCATAAAATTAAATTCTGTGTACGGTAATCTACAGAACTCTTATTTAATGGATAGACAAATAGCAATTCTGTAAAGAAAAACAAGGAGTAGGGCCAATAGCCACAGTGCATAATGGAGCTCCTAAAAAGGAAACATGCAGTTGGTATGAAACTATCGCACAGTAGTTGAGCAGAGCTTCTCGAAGGACTACAGGGAGGGATGCCCGGGATCCGCAGAAGAAAGTGTCCGACTCGCCGGAAAAGCGATCGCCAGGGCAAAGCGAAATTAATAAAAAATGTACAGACAGGGGAAATGAAGGGAGTTTGGCGGATGCGCTTTCACTAAAACAATCATTATACAGTAGGCGCATATTCTGAACTTAATGTAGGGTATGGACGTCAACCGACGCCATGACATGTAGAAGTGGATCCAAGAACTACCTGCCATTACGAATTATCGCATTAATGGGATTGAAGGCCTAGCTGCGGTAGCCTCACTGCAAGTTCATACAAGCTGCCCGCGCACATCACATACGCCCGAATAAATCAGTTCTAAATTCTGCAGATATATCCAGGGTGGCCGGGATCAGCTTTTTCGAACACGTTCTGGGGGTGTTGATTAGTTCGAAGGGTTTCATGGATTCTCATGCGATGGGTCTCACAGATTAACGCAGTCGGCTTCGCCTTACTATCAGATAAATAAACCGCACTTTTATCGAGCATGCTTTCGCCATTTCTATCAAATTTACTTCGCGTTCGTACATGAGTCTGTAGACACAAGTGTATTTTAGTGGTCATTCTCCTTTGTATAGCACTATAGTCATTTCCAATCCATAAGTCCTGATAATTGTTTGCTGAAGGATGCCCACCCGCTCTGCCGAACGTTGAGCAGTCAGGAGACTGCTTACTTTGATTGCAGGTGTCGTGCATTTGCCTTTGAATGCTTCTGAAAGGGGTAAAACCAGGAGTATATGAAACTTTTTCTATCTAGGATGAACGTCTAGACAGAAAACGGTATACGCTGTTAGACAACTCGGTAGGATCCCAATTGGTAGCGCTCCCGGTACTGAAATCGCCCGGCTCTCTAACTTACGGGACGGTGGTAAGGAGGGATATACGGGTGGGGCACTTGCGTGCAGGCGTCAATGAAGTTTATAGTGTATGCCCCGAATTGATGCCCCTGCTAAAGTCGTAGCCAAAATTAAATATGGTGGAAAATGAAAGAAAGATATAAAAACGAACGAGGATACTGAGTACGGTCTGCGGAATGAATGCATCCTACCTCCAGATTGGGTTGGGCGTTCTTGATTTTCCGAAAATAATAATTTATTGCCACTAAGTTCACATGTATGTTAGAAACTGAAGCGGTAGTTGTGTGTTAGACGCGAACGTTGTAGTATGCAATGTGTAGAGCAATTAGCCAGGAAGGCTACCAACAGGGATCCTACTGACAACTCTGTCAGGTGGGCCTACAACGGCTGGAATCGCTGGTTTTCCGAAAACACAGACCGAAATTCTGGGCTCGGTATGTGGATGACACTTTCGTCGTCATCGAACGGGATCAGGTACGGACGTCCAAAGAACATTTAAACGGCGTCTTCCCGGAAATTCAACTTACGATGTCCTCGTCTGCCGCAAAGATTGTGGTGGCCGGGAAGAAGCTAGCTCTCAGGTGGCGGCACACTCGACGGGACCCGGCCATATTTTCAAAGTTCAAGAGACCGACATCCTCGCAAGGGATGATAACCACGTGAGCCGCGAGCTGCTCGAGTCATGGTTCTCAGGCCCGCAATCCATCAACTAGCACAACGACCTCCCGGTACCATAATCCGTGCTGAGATTTTACCTGGTCAGGGGAATCAGTCACGTTTGGAGGGGGCGGGCAAGCGATTATCACAGTGGCAGTGAGCCAGTTTGCCGAGCAATCGTCACACCTGTATCCAGCACGGATGACGAAATTGCGGCAAATAACGACTCGGACTCGGACCAACAAGCCACCACCGCATCAAGTACGACCCCAGTGGTGATTGCGAGAACTATTAATTGCAGTGCGCATACGGTCCCACGGCAGCCACGGGCTAGAAATACAGCACTCCTTGTACCACTATCACCTTAATCTGCGGATGTCTCTGATGAAGGATTCGAGTGAGAATCCGAAACTTCGGGCCATTAAATTTCTTGTTCCAGTGATCGCATTTTAGTCAGAAGACTGTTTAGTTCGATTGCAGGTGTTGTGCATTTACCTGCATTTACCTGTGAGGGGTGAAACCAGGGATTATGTGAAACGTTTCCCATCTAGCGTGAACAGAAAACGGCATGTGGTGTGAGACAAATCTGTAAGACAGCGGTCAGTTCACGACGTAGGGAACGGACCAGACACTCCCACAATGCACACGGCTTTTAGACCAACAATTTACACAAACACCAAGCATGTGGTCGGTTGACCCTAATAAGACCTAAGAATTGATGTCTTGGGTAATTTTCCTTCTGTGTGGTCTCCGTCATAAAAAAGAGAAAAATACCAACTCTGCCAGTACTCCTTTACACCAATGACTACTGGCTGCAAGAAACATCCATTCGTAATCAACATCGCGAAATATTAGTCAATTTACGTTAAGACGAAAGACACCGGTATATAGTTTGAACTGTATTGATTCAAACACTAAACCGGAATACCATCGTCCGGACGTTTATCTGTCGAGATCTAATAAAGTTGAAAATCTGAAGGTTCCGTCAGAGATATGAACCTTGATTATATTTTAGTTATATCTGACAATATGCTCTAGCTGTAAAGATATAGGCAATGTTTACAAGCATCTGCGTTTAAATCCACATGAGAGATTAGTAATTCTGTTTCCTCACTGGTATATGTAAAGCATTTAACAGTCTCTCAAAATACAGTTGGTAAAGAAATATATTTAGGGCGGTGAAATTACAAATATTACGTAAAATCAGACACACAGCTGGGCAAAGCGCTTGGACAGAAGAGTTGGGAGGGTTGGAGTAGATTCGGTTTGCATGGGAGGCCTATGGAAGATTGGCTGTGGGACTTTGGAAATAGTGCTCACGTTATGAATCTCTGATCTCGGGAAAAACTGACTGCCGGCCATGACTAGCGCAGTGCCTACATGCGGCATATTGCGAGCAGGATTCGTAATGCCTTCTGAGAGTTTTCTTGCTGATAATTAATTTCTTTATTATTTCTGTTCCAAAATGTGCCATCCCTTGCAACGTCGCCTTCTTCTAATCGCAGATCCGAAGAAGCTGACGTAAGCAGAGCTAGTCTGCAGGGGCACAGTTGCATAAGTAAATGCTTTCGAAATACTACTTCCAATGTAACAGGTGACACTGTAAAACCACGATGCATTACGCGACGTTTAAATGAGATGGTCCATTCAACGTTTACAAAGTATATCCTATAAACTAAACGAATTCCTCAGCCAATAAGCGTTTTCGCTTTCTTCCGCTGTTCAGTCTCTACAAACCCTTTACACGAGAAGTTAGAAAGAAAGCATAAATAATATAGGTAGGCTAACTCATAAAATGTCAACCGATACTTCGAAATGCGTTCACGTTTCGAAAATATTATGATGATCTAGTTACCTCAGCGGGTCGGCTTTCGAATGGTCTTATTTTCGACTGCATGCGGAAATTATGCTCGGCAAAAAATGACCACTTATGTAACATGCAATTTTGCCATTGGTTTTCGATGTCCCTGCAAATTCAATTACATTTCATAGAAAGCATGTATAAAAATATTCATTTCTTTACTTATTTGGGAGAAATTCACGTCTTCTTCCAATTTTATTCTCGAAAGAATTTTATAATTCGGTTTCAAAAAGTTTCTAATTGTAAGGTATTTAATACCGTAAAACGTCATGTATCTGTATTTACGAATGCGGCTTGTAAAGTTAACAATACTGCTCAAATTCACTGCTGAATTTTATGATCTTCACATGGTCTCCTCTTGATACCGTAGAGGAATGCATGGTTTTCGTACACGGAAAATATACGACTTGTAGTTTTGAAACCCGTAATGTAAGTGTAACACCAGGTCGGGTTCAAAATAAGTCGGGAAGTAGACACTCTTTTTAAAACCGAATTATGTCCCTCCTTCGAGTATAACATTAAAAGAAGACTTAATTATCTACCCAATGAGCAAAAGAATGAATATTTGTATGCATTTTTTCCATGACATATAATTGGACTTTTGAAGGCATCGAAAAGCAATGAGAAAAATGGATGCTATATAAGTAGTCAGTTTTTACAGATCACAGTCTTTGCATGCATCCAGTAGGAAGTTCCTGCACATGTGGCTGCAGAATTTATAGGATGCAGTAGCCATGCCACCGCATACCTATGAATGTTCACGGCTCCCTCCCCTTCATCAGGGATCGTTGCACGTGGCGTGATGGTCGATATTCGCGTCGTTAATTGCTGCAATTTCATCACGTGCGCTGGATGTTGGTGTGATGATTGCTCGATCATCTGACGCGCTGACCCGGGTGTTGGAAAGAGTGTTCATCAGGGCGCTCCCCGCGTGGCCAATTTCTCCGCCTAAACGAAGTCTCAGCACGCTGTATTGAATGGGAAGATCATTGCACTTGTTAATAGACTGGGGGCCAGTGAACCATGACTCATGCAGCTCCCGGCTCACGCGGTTGTCACCTCTTGCGAGAATTTCGGCCTCGTCAAATTTGAATGTGTGGCCGGAACCCGTCGAATGAGCCGCAACTTGAGAGCTGGCGTCATTTCTCCGCACTGCTGCAGCGTGTTCGGCCATTCGCGTTCGGAGCTGTCTTCCGGTTTCTCCGACGTAGTTGCTTTGTCCGCAACTGCACCAGATCCGATAAACGACTCCAGACGTTTCTTGCCGTGGCAGTGGGTCTTTTGGATTCATCAGTTGACGCTTGATGGTTGCCTTTGGCCTGTGTGCAACTCCAACCCCCAGCGGTGCGAGAAGGCGGCCAACAGCTTCCGAAACGTTCTTGACATACGGAAGCGCTCGCCAAACTGTGGTGTCCCTGCGGTTAGGCCTTGCGTCCATTGTGCGTATGCACCGGTTGACAAAGATGCTCGGGTAGCCATTGGCTTTGAATACCCGTCGGAGGTATTGTAGTTCAGCAATCTTGTCTTCCGGCTCACTGCAGTGTGTTTCGACACGCCGATAGAGCGTCCTTACACAACTGCGTTTGTGACTGATTGGGTGGTTGTTGTTGAAGTTCAGAACTTGCATCGTATTTGTCGCATTCCTGAACACTTTGGTCTTTAGTCCACCACAATCCTTGCGGCATACGAGGACATCCAGGAAGGCCAGCTGGTTATTCTCTTCCTCCTCCATCGTAAATTGTATGTCCGGGAAGACCGCATTCAGACGTTCCTTGAATGTCAGCAGTTGACCCCGATCGATAACGACGAAGGTATCATCCACATACCGGGCTCAGAACGTCGGTTTGTGGTGTTGGAAGACCAGCGACTCTAACCGTTGCAGGACCGCCTCGGCGATGAATCCCGAAATCGGCGAACCCATTGGTGTGCCCTTCGCCTGTTCGTAGATTGTCCCGTCGAACGTGGAGTACGTCCTGAGACAGAAGTTCAGGAGCTGAAGGACTTGGGCGCGTCCAAGACGATTCTCCGTTTCATCGTATTTGCTTTGCAGAAGCAGCTCCATTGTCTCGATCGCCAGGTCCTGGGGAATAGAAGTAAAAATGGATGTAACATCAAAAGATACCATGACCTCATTTGGATGGAGGCTTACCCCTTTGAGTTTCTCCAGGAATTCTACTGACGAAGAGACCCTGGTGTGTGACTCAGCGGTCAGGAACTTGAGACGCCGGCACAGCCACTTAGCCAGTCCGTACGTTGGAGTACCTTTGAGCGACACGATGGGTCGGAGAGGAGCGCCGTCTTTGTGCACCTTAGGGAGGCCATAGAATCGGGCCAAAGCCGTATCTTGGGGTCTCACCATGCGTCTGTCGGTCGGTGTTATTGCACCTGAGTTCTCCGAGGCCAACATCGTAGCATTAATTTTGCGTGTCAGCGCCTTTAAAGATTTCGTTGCACATGAAACATAGAACTGTCGGTCCTCCAGCAAACGTTTGGCTTTTTGAAAGTAGTCTTTCCTGTCCAGCACAACCGTGGAGCGCCCCTTGTCCGCTGGCACGATGACAAAGTCTTTGTCGGCCTTGAGTTCTCTAAGCGCATCACGTTCGTCCTTGGAAAGCACATCCCGCGGCCTGTGGACCATTAGGAGAGACGACACTTGGTGTCGGATGAGGCTCTTTGTCTCCTACTTTGCGCCCGTCTGACTAAGGATTGATTCCACTGCTGCAATCATGTAAACAGGTTCAGCGTCAGTCGTGTTAAATGAGGCTTCCTGCCTTAAAACCTGCATCTGATCCTTCGTCAGCTCCTTTAACGACAGGTTGTGCACAGTTTGTCGGTTCTGGGCGACATTGGATTGAGCAGCCTTCGGAATTTGTTCTCCAGTGCTGCGTCGCGTATCATTCTCTGTTCGCGGGCTTGTTCAGCTATCCTCTGCTGGAGCAGATTTGTTCCGATCTCACCCATGAACTCACAGCATTTGATCTTTTCTTGGTGAATCCTTTGACGGTACTTGCGAAGTCTCGCGTGGCAACCTTGGAGGAGCCCTCGGATCATCCTTCTGCCATGTTGAAATACTGCCCGCCTCGCCAAATCTGTGTTAACCGGAGGCTTGTATGAAACACATTTCGGCAACACATTATTGTCGAGACACCTGTGCAGAAACCGGATCTGCGAATACGTGGAGGCCTCCCGAAGGGCGAAGGTTTCCCATCGCCGGGCCGATCGGAGCGCATCGCGCCCAAATACATTGCCAATAGAAGCGATGATGGATTCGAGCAGGAATCCGAAACGTCAGGCTAATAAAGCTCTTGTCCCGGCGATCGTGTCTTCTTCTTCTAGACTGCTTCCTTTGACTCGTCGTTTCGCTTCTATTGGCAGTAGGACGTTCCTTCAAAAGCCGGCATCCGGACATAACTGAAATATCAAAGAATTGTTTTGCAGGCTGACTAGTTTTACAACCTTACCTAATTACTTTTTTTGAAATGAAAACGCATTTCGGAATTTCGGTTGACATTTCATGAGTTAACCCGCCTACTCTTTTTGGAATGCGAGTATGTCAGTGTATCTACAAGAAAAACTAGATTATAATACTGACGTGTTGCAAATTGTGGGTCCGAATCAGGGATTACTTGATTAAGTGCGCTCCCCGAACTTCATTCGATGTTTAACCAAACCTCCAGGATAGTTTTCAGCTGCGAATGGAGGTATTTTACAAGTTCATTTTAGAAGATGATTAACAATTTACTTCATCTGTTTGACACCTGGAAGGAAAGAAAACTGCCAGAAACCGCATGCACCTTGACGGAGGTAGAAGAAACTTCTACATTAATGCGTACATCACGCCAAATATGCTAAGCTCAAAATTTAAAGTCGATGTAAAAAACTGGAAGAGCAACGAAACATAAAATGTTAAGTGCGTCCACGTCGGTTGTAGGTATAACCAGTTAAAGGTCTATGAGGACCTACCGTGACAATAAAACGGTCCCGCGTCAAAACTGTTTTCAAATTCTGCCAAAGAAGACGATACCTGCTACCGACGACAGCCTCAGTATAATTGTACCGCACAAGGTACAGTAGATATGCTATCTCATGCAATGAAATACTAGTCTAGTAGAATGGCAATATGGATTATCGTGTATCAACTACCGAGGTATGCCAGCCACGTCATAATGCCAGCTTTCATAAACTACATTTAGTATAAAGGGTTGTTTAAGTAACATGAAATTTACCTTTGATTTTTAATACCCTTAAATCTGCAAACAGATTTTATAGGAAGCATGCAACACGTGTTTAGTTCTTTTGCTTATTAGGCGGCAATTTAAGTATTGTTCCAATTTATTACTTGAAGCAGGAGTATTTTTGGGGTTGAAAAACATTTTCAACTGCAAAGAAATTTTAAATTTAACCCGCCCTTACACTCGCATTCGCGGTTGCCGAACTATAAAATGAACAATTCTCGTTCAAGTAGAATCGTATATTTTTATTTACTATTATGAAAAAGACATATAGGTCTCATGCAGTTATATAATAGTTATGGACCAAGTTGATCGCTTCATTAGCAGCAATAATAAAGGCGGTGTACGATCGGACATGGACTGAAAAGTCTCATAATTAGAATTTCTTTAAAGCCAAAAGATTCCCTTTATTCAAGCACAGCGCTTTGAGAGACACCTCATGATCTACTAAATGAATTAAAAGAGGCATATTTTATTCATTTCTCAACAAAATATACTTGAATTTACGGAACGTAGTTTGCGCAGACAGACGATATGAAAGTATTCTGAAAGAGGGAAGTCTGGCCTGATTGGAATATTTTTGGTATTAAGCTACACAACAATTAATATTATAATCCTGCCAAAGTGATATTATGGGATTAGAGGCATATTTCAGAATTTTTTAAAAAATTCAGGAGATATCACACATACTATTAATTGTAACCCGAAATATTTGTCTACCTAAGACCCATACATTATACTTTTTTGAACTTCTAGAGGGACTGGCGTAGGAGCCCTTACGCTGCCATATTTTTCCGCCACCCAGCTGTTAGTAAATGACCAGGTAAGATGTGGTTATGTAGTCACTTCTGATGGACACAATTTCATATAGTTAGGGGTAGGGCTCAGGGTTAGGTTTAGGGATTAAGGGTTAGGAGAACTACTGCTAAACAACTCAAGGTATATCTGCGCATTCCCAATAGCTTGTCTTTGGCATACTCGTCGCCTGTGTGTTCCACGGCCTCACCTGTAAAAACCCCTATTTTCAGCGGTCACGTATTACAGGCGATTATTTTACCTATTGAGCCTGCGATCATGCCGCTAGCGTCCTCAAAAGTGTCTGACCGATGCCCGTTGTGAAGCCCAAGATGCTGGGCGCTTAGAGCTCACAATGGGCAGATTTAATATTAACGTTGTACACTAGAGGCATATATGCATCTGCAATGCCAGGATCAGCAGACCTCGCCACCTGGTATGCGGAGACAGTTCTGCGACACCTGGTGCTTTACCGGTAGATACGGGTCTTGAGCATGTCTGCTCTCTGTCATCCTCGCCTTTTGACTCGTTGTGATGTTGACTAGTTGATAGAAATCCGTGTTAGTTGTTGTACGGACGATGGGACGTGGAGTAGAGCGCCAAGGTGCGTGCCCGGCCGCGTCATCCACATGCACCCTCTGCCATGACACCGGTTTCAGGTGGGAGAGGTGGACAGAGAGCGGTAGATGCAGCGTAAGTCTGCACTAAGCATGAACTAATTCACCCGCAGGTTACTGTGCTCTCCAAACGGACCACGTCTTAGATGCGCTGGACCAACCCGGGGGCCACATCGGCTTCTGGCAGGCGTTATCTGTACGCCATAACAAATGCCAACACTTACGAGGTGCGCTGGTAGAGCCTGTTGTCGGCATTCGCCGTATAAATCGGGCCAACTGCCACGCCCTCCATTGTGTTTGCAGGTCAAATCCTGGTCATTTGGTGTGTGAACCAGGGAGTGCGGAGCGGAGCGCCAAGGCGAGGATACGTCCAAATCATCCACCTGCGTCCTCCCTCGTCTCCGGTCTTCTTGTATCTGTCTTGACACCGGACCCAGGCGGAGGAGGAGGAGAGAGTGTAGGTAGGTGAAGCGCAAGTCTACTGGCACTATAAACCTCTGCGCAAGTCACCGTCACTGCTCCCACCGCTGCTGCTGTGGGGCACACGGTGAACATCATCAAAATCGATGGTCGAACTATCGTGAGGCACACAGTGGACGTCATCTGATGTGACGTTCGAATTGTTAGATGTAGCGACATTCCGACAATTTGTGCCTAGTATGCTCATATCATGCCATTCTGTGGACATTGTTGTAAATGTCGATGATGTCGAAACTTCGCAGTACTTAATCAAGCAGTCCGTGAAGATTCCGAGTAGCATTTTTCATTCAAAAAATTGACAAATAAGCTCAGAGGGTCTAAAAGACTACCAATGAACATTTTGGCACTATAGCTATGTCGACAGGTTTGTAACTGCGCGCATGAGGCAAACGCTGTCTTAAAAAACGCCCGTTTTCGTGCAGCGTAGGAGTAAAATCTTGGATATACAGACATATTAGAGATCGCCACTCGCTTGATATTGGCCATTCGATGATTGTTTTATGTAGGAATGTCCACGAAAGTCTTAAATAAGTATTTCTGCATGTCTAAGAATGCAGAAAGTGCACAGTCTTATGTTAAAGATAAGGCTACTGTTCATGAGCTATATTGGTCAGATTTAAACTGCCAAGCCATCTGTTTGATGCACAATGAACTTCGAGATTTTAAACAGAAAAACTTTCATAGCCAAAAACACTATCAGAAAAGGGTAAATCGAAAGACCGCCTTGCGATCCACATGAAAAAGCACCTATCCAATTAGAGCTAAAAATACTCGATGATGGCACCCCATAAAATGGGACAGCCTATGTGCTGAGCAGCATAATTAAAAGCATCTACATCGTGAGGGCGCATAGTGCAACCAATGGATTTACTGCTGTTTATGGTGCAGATGCTTTGGACTGCATACGGCGCGTGCGCATGTAAAACCATCAAAGGTAGCTTTCCTGACATCTTGCTGAACTCTACAAATATTTAAAAATAATAACTTAAAGTTACTTAAACCTCCTCAGAAAATGTAATTCAAGAAGTTCAGTGTGATCATCTTAATTTCTGGTGCTATAATCAGATGTGAGGAGAAAATGACGTTTTGCGACTTACTAGGCGGAAAAGTGTGACAAATTGCTCAGTTAACTTAAAGGCCATTATTTCCTTCGATTCCTTCTAAAATCTCACACGTAGAAATGAAAGTCCCGCCAATTATTTTGAATGTTTAAAAATCAACTAGAGCAAAATTGGAATAAGTCCGTTTGTTAAATGCTCCGCCGTTTTCTTGATGCGGCAACATATTATGCTTTTGTAGGCGCAAATTTTGAAGCATGATGTCCGACAAATAATCAATCCGGCTATTTTATATGATGATATATTTGCAAACCTATGAAGAACGAACTATCGTAAGTATATATGGGGCGCAAATTAGCTACAAAACATGCTGTTTGCAATCACCAACGATAAGCCAGAAACCTTTAGCTAAAATGTTGATTTTGGTGATGTAATAAGGACTGTACGTTTAAATAA